TGCCCACCTTCTACGTGCTCAACACAGAGGTGCATGACCCAGGGATCTGGCCAGTTATCTTTCAGAAGGTCCCCGTCTCTATCCCCATCCCTACCCCCCCTTTCTGTGTTCGCGGCTCTTCCGCCAACACTCCCAGTTAGCTATTGTGGTTCCGGACTAGAAAAAACCTGTGTGGGTGCCTTTGGGCCAACGCTCCGTGTCTCTGACCTGAGGTTGCTAGTGCATACGACGAGAAGGATGAAGCTTCTCACACATGGCCTTTGGAAGATTAAGTGAGGGTGTTACTTACGGCGGCCTGTAAAACTAGGTCCGAATCCCTTTTCCGTGGATTCTGGGCACTACCAAAAGGAACCTTTGAATGGGAAGGGTTCGCCGGTAACGTTACTGGGCTTTGTCCCGTGAGGTCGTTTTCTTTAGCTCATCGGCACGTTCCGGCTCCTCCCCTCAGGCTGGGCCGGGGTGAGACTCACTCCCTTGTCGGTGCACACACGGGCGTGTGCGTGTGTGTGCGCGCGCGTGTGTGTGCGTGCGCGTGTGTGCGTTTAACCCTCGTTCTGTACGTCACCTCCAGTTCCTTGTTGGGAATCAAAGCCTTCTGCCCGTTCCAGGTGGCAGCCAAGTGTTACCAAAAAGGAGGTGCGTTTGAGAAGGAGAAGCTGGCCCTGGCCCACAACACCGCCCTGAACATGAAATCCAAGAAAGTCAGCCCCAAGTAAGAGTCCCGGGGGTCATCTCGGGGCTGCTCTGGTGAGAGCCGCGGGTGAAACCTAGCGGGGGCTCCGTCGCCGGTCCGCGGACACTCTGTTTTGTCTCCTCCTCCAGGGAGAAGCAGGTGGAGTTCTTGGGACTGGCCAAGACCTATCTGGAGTGCAACGAGCCAAAGCTGTCCCTCAAGTGCCTGAGCTGCGCCAAGGAGTTCCAGCTGTCCGCCCAGCTGTGCGAGAGGCTGGGGAAGGTGAGGCCCAGCCTGCGCTGTCTCTGGGAGAACCGGGCCGCCCTGGAGCCGACTCCCTCAGCCCCCGCTTGCGTCAGGGAGGGGCCCCGGGCCTCCAAAGAGGGACACGGCAGCCCCGAGGACTGCAGGGCAGTCGTTTTCTCCACGCGCCCGAGCGTTTCCATGACTCCAGAGATGTGTGTGCACGTCCACGTCTGTGTGAAGGTTTGCGATCCGGCGTCAATCACAGAGGGGCCGAGTGTTCAAATCAAAGGGCCGATGGGCTTTGGCATAGTCCTGCCTTCCTGTCCTCCCTGTCCAGGCCGGAGTCTGCCTGCGGCGATGGCCCGGCACGACATGGCAGTTTTCCCGTGTTCTCGGTCACTGCTCTAGTTGCCAACCAATCTGGCGGGCCGCTAGCCGCAGGTGGCTATTTAATTTATAATTCAAGTTAACTAAAATGTCAAAAAATAAGAAATTCAGTTCCTCGGTCCCACTAGCCACGTTTCAGGTGCGCATTGCTACGAGAACACTTCCATCATCGCGGAAAGCTCTGTTGGGCAGAGCTAATGGTCTAGAGCATAGCTACTCACTGCGTGGTCAGCAGGCTGGCGGGCGGGCCACGCAATTTCACGTGTCTGCACCAAGATTAACACCGAAGGTGAAAGTGACCAGTGAGAGACTGTTAGGGCAGTTCGGCACTGCCGTGACATCCAAGTGGTGATGATTGTTTTGGCGATTCCTTTTTCTCCTCGAGTCAGAATTGGCATGGAAAACTGTATCAGTTGTAGATGCACGACGTCATGATTCGATACATGTGCGTGCTGCGAGGCGATGCCCCCAGTAGGTTGAGTTAACATCCATCACCGTACAAAGCTTGTTTTCCCTCGCAATGAAATCTTTTAAGATCTGTTCTCGTAGCAGCTTTCAAGGGTGCGCTACGGCATTATCTGTACTCACACGGTTCACGTTCAGTGTATCCCTTGTGAGGGATGGGAGGTGTAGAGCGAGGTGGTTCGAGAAGCTTTGCTCTAGAATGCCCAGCTCGGGCTGCGGTATTCCCCCATGTAAAAGGCTTTCCAGCAGGAAAGTGGGTTTCCACGCCTCTCGTCTCCCCGTGAAACCTAGTAGCTCCTGGATGTGCAGAGCATCCCGGGCACTGGGTGGGGCGGGAGCGTGGGGACTTTGAAGTGTGGCCCCCAAGTCAGTGTAAAGAACATGAGGCCCTCATGGTGCTGCCTGCCCGGCCCCACATTGATTAGGGTGTGCGACCTGTTAGGGTGTGGGAGACGGGGATGGGATAGGGATTCCCCTCTGGGTGGGAGTTTGGGTCCTAAGATTCCGGGTACTGGCGTAGCTTCTAACCTGTCCACGTTCCTTAGCTACCAAATCCTCAATGCCCTGTGTCGCCACCTTGGACCTACTCGCTGACAACTACAGGGAACCAGCCTAAGCCTTTGCTTCCCGTTTTTGCCCAGCAGTGCCCGCCTTGACTGAGTCAGAGACCTCTTCCTTATGGACTCACTTTGCCCACCGCCCCACCCCCAGCCTGGAGAGCTCTTCCTCTGAGAGTAGGGGGCTCAGGGACCAGGAGGCCATAAGTACAGCCTGTGCTCCCTCCTCCGGGACTTCAGCACCTTCAGAACGTGGAGGCCACCCTGCTCCCCTTCCGCGGGTTTGGCCACCGGTGGCGGCCTCGTCTGCTTCCTCTCGCCAGTACATTCTAGCAGCTCCAAGCCCCAGCCAGGGAAGGGTCTTGTCCCAGCCCCCTCCCTGGAAGGGTGTGCAGCCCTCAGCCAGCCTCAGACCTCACGTGGTCATCCTGCCACACTAACCGGCACGATTCACGTTGACCAGCTGGGCAGCAGCCTTTGTCAGTATCCTTAGACCAAATTGCCCCCCTGTTCCCAGCCCCTAAATGTGTGTCGCCCCTGCCAAGAAGTGTTTTTGCGGGGACCCTGGGAATGCAAGACCGTTTTGCAGGGATTCCTCTGCCTCATCCGCTTCTTGCCTCTTTCCTGAGAGCGACATGGGCTCCCTCGGAAACCTCTCAAGGCCCCTGCTCTGGACGGCGGGTGGGAGCCCTCCGCTCAGGGAGCAGAGCTGGTGGAGGAGAGAGCTGCTGCATAGAACCAGCCC